CCGTCCTTCTCTAACCGTCTTGTGTACTGCCCCGTTTGCATGTCTTGCATGATGGCCCACAAGTAGAGCGCATTGGCATCGTAACCAACTACATTCTTGCAGGGTTTCGATTCTTTTCTTCTGGCTCGCATTTCTTCCTTCCGTATGGATGATTTCTCTTTCTCGTGGTATCTGTTAAAGATAATGCTGGGGCCCTCTACGTTATTATCCTTCATTGAATAATACATATCCTTGTCCTTCTCGCTGAACAAGGAGAAGTAGGTGCCTGGAATGTTTGAAAATAAATATTTCATAGTCAAGCCAGGCACACTCACACCGTCCTTAAACATATCAATGTTCCTTGCTTGCCAGAAATTACTCATTCTATCAATTGCTTCAAGGAAGGGGACTACGTCAAGGTTGTTATACCACACGAGAAAGTCGCGGAAAGTTGTCATATTCTGTTCGTCCCATACACCCTGGCAATACTCATACTGTTCATCGGTGATGTCGGTTCCGGATAGAGTGGAATGGAAGGTTTCGCGTGGTGGTAAGGAGCAATGATTGAGTTTGTCGAGGGAGTCGACCCACTCGTACGGGAAGTAGCCTTTGGTTTGGGAGCACTCGTACGCTTTGAGGAACTGTTCGTAACTAAATCCCGGAGCCAGATAGTTTGTGATATCGAGGAATTTTAAGTGCTGAGTCTTAAGACACATGTGGTTATTGTTCCTCTTTATCACAAACTTAACTTGTTCGTGCTTGACGAGATGTGAAAAGAAGGGGTTTTTCGCAGCGTTAATATCATATTTACCAGAGTTGAATCCAAGAATTGGTAACTCTTGTAAGTATTCTGATAACTTATCCTGGAGTTTGAGCAGAGGATGGACCACATCCTAAATAAATGAAAAGGTGTCATAAGTAAAAAGCAAGATACTTACACATCCCTACTAATCTATATAACCGCTAAAATGGATCATGAGTGTGATACTCACTTTCTCTTCAACGTCTTTAGCTTTATCCACTTCGTCTTCATCTACCCCACACACATCTTCACTCGCCTAAAAAGGTGCACATATGGTAAGCACAGGAAAGACCACTGTTGAGCTCAAACCTTATGTTATTTACCTCACTATTCAACCCCATCAAACATCCCACCATATCCTCTATCATCTGTTCCTCTGTATTTTGCTAAAACATAAGATATATTAGAATATAAAGAATATAAGTGCAAAAATAACCTTCCTATAATTTACCTCATTATCCTCCCCCGCGGCAACTTCCATAACCTCGTTTTCCCCCACCTAAAGATATAAGAAAAAATATTAAGGATAAGAAATACACTAAGAATCTAATACGTGTGAAATATACCTCATTAACCCGTTCATCAATTTGACGAAAAACGTCAGAGAATTGGTCCAGCAACAATCCATAGCTTTCTTGGCTGACCTCAACCAAATATTCCACGAACTGTTGGATCATTTCACTTGTACTGCCAGACGAGACGAAGCATTTGGGTTGATCATAACCAGGGACGTTGGAGCAAACAGAGACACTCAAGGGGATATGTTCGGCTTCCCACATTAACTTTGCTGTATTTCGCGGATGTTCGGCTTCACGTTTGAAATAACACTCAAAGTCAAAGGTGGCACGATAAGGGAAGTACTTGAGGTCTTCAGGGATTTCGATACCTTCATCGGCCAACAAGTCGAAGATGGTTTGTGGAACTTTGTAGGCACCGCCAGGGAAAACATGACGTATAGTTGCTTCGCATGTTCGCTCGTGTCAATTCAATTAGAACTTCGCACTAATTTTGTCATACAAACACCCGATTCATAAAAAATGACATAAGTCTAACATGAATAAATTGGGGACATGCAAATTTCACATAGCAACATGATAAACCCACGCTATGAAAATTACTTTTACCTCACTATAAAACGCTAGCGAATGTTACAAAACAGATGTAGCGTAAATACTCGTACAATGACATAAATTAATAGTTCTAAATCAAATGAACATAAGTCTAACACGAATAATTAGGAACACTCCAGCCTAGACCTAGGCCTTCTATTTTTATTTATATTTTTTTAATATTCAGCGCTTTTTCACATGAAAAGACTGGGACTAGGTAATTTGGGGGCGGGGCGGAGGAAGGACACAAGCCTGACGCAAGCGAAAATATAGAAGGCCTAGTGGATTTCCCAACAACAAGGCCAAAACTGCCCTGAAACTGCCCTGATTGCGAAATGCCCAATTGTTGCGTTCTCAAACAGAATTATTTGCAACTTAACAGCGAATTTAAACCGATACAGGTAAAATAAACTCATTTATAGTATAAACTTACTATTTTTATTTGTATACACGTCTAGAAAATCGGGTTTTTTATCATAAAGTTTGAAGCAAAACTATTTTTATGTTGAATTGAATTTGAATTGATTTAATAACTACTGACTTTGTAACCCAAAAAGGTTAAATTACACCAGTATTACATAAATTAAGAGGATAAGTTAAAATTACATAATAATTACATATTTAAGATTATTTACATTTCTAAAAACTTATTTACTGTTAATCTTTAATATACTTTGAGGTAAAAACGAATTCTTAAAACGTTCGGTTCTGCAAACATAATTATGATATTTACATATCGGTCTTAGATCATATCCAGATAAAACTGTTTGTGGTAAAAGATCTTTGAGATTTTCATTGTCAATATTCTTCTCAAAGAAATGTTCGCATAATTTTTCTCGTCGATCTCTCAGTGACGTGATGTTAGTCGTGATCAGCGCTTCGTCGTACTTTTGCGATGGGAGGATTATTCTCAACGCGCGTTTTGGTATTTTTTCAATATCGTCACATAAATATTGTTGGATATTGTAATGCCAGACCTGGCATGCGTACTCTAAAACAGGCCTAATAATGGTAGTATATACAGTAATTAACGTGTCAATACACGCGTTGGACCTTTTTAGCAGTCTTAGAATATAGAGCCTCTTGCTAGCTTTTTTAACTATGTTATTTATATGTTCATTCCACTTCATGTTATCTTGGACTGTGAGGCCAAGGATACGGGCAGATTTCTCTCGTTCAATATTAACTTTATCGACTGTTAAAGGGGGTAAGCAATGCTTCTTTTTTGCAAAATCAATAACCAGTTCTTTGCATTTTCCAATGTTTAATTTCATATTATTACTCGTAGTCCAATTATTGATGTAATTAACCAGTTCTTGAAGGTTGCTGTTACAATCTGGGCCAATGGTTTCGGTAGTGGTGGTGTCGTCAACGTATTTCCATCGGTCTTTCCAATCAGCGAGGAGGTCGTTTATCATGATTAGGAAGAGGATTGGGCCTAAAACAGTTCCCTGGGGTACTCCACCGTTGAGGATTTGCCATTCTGACACACAATGGGGCATTCTGACCCGTTGGCTTCGTTGAGTAAGAAAACTTCTTATCTAGTTTGTTATTAATGATGGAACGTCCATATCAGATAATTTACTGAGGAGGATGTTATGATCGATATGATCAAAAGCTTTGGAGAAGTCTAATAAAAAAATTCTCACAGCGTTTTTCGGCACATCAGTTTCGTTTAATAAGTGATGGAGAAGGCTCAATAATGCATGTGTTGTTGAAGAATTTTTTAGAGATCCAAATTGCCGTTTATCGATCTTCTCACCAATCAACTTCATCAGCCAGTCTGCGACAAAACGTTCACACGTTTTTGACAAAGTGGCAGTAAGCGAGATGGGACGCAAGTCTTTAGTAATGTCCCTCAGCACCTTATTTTTAGGTACAGGGATGACGTCGGCTTTTTTCCATACCGCGGGAACAGACGCCTGTTGAAGGGAGGCGTTGAAGATTGAAGTAACAGGGGAAGACAGCAGGGGCGCATAATCTTTTAGGACCCAATTCGGTATTTCATCTAGACCAGCCGCTTTCGAGGATAATATTGAAGATAATTTATAATAAATGTCTTCTTCCCTAATAATGTACTCGGTTGGAATTGTAGTACAATCGCTTTGTAATTGGCTATCGGGGAAAGGGATAGGACTAAGGGGAGGAATATCTCGAGTAACGGATACGAAAGCCTCGTTAATTTTTTCAGCAAGTTGCTTTCCAGAGACGACTTGCTCTCCTAGGACAATACTTGAAAAAGATTTCTTCTTAGGGTAGCCAGCTATTTGTTTTACGGTGTCCCACCATTTCTTAGGATCAGGGTTACGTTTCAATTGTTTCAATTTATATTCTAAGAATGCAGATTTAAGGTACTTACTTTCTCGATTGGCACGATTACGTAGTCGCCGGTACAATTTGTCATTTTTCTGAAAAAATGCCTTCTGTCTGCTTTTAATAAGTTCCTTGTATGAAGGTGTTATCCAAGGCTTATCTCGGTCGCGCATTTTAACTACTTTACATGGAAGGAAGTGGTCAAAGCCGGTATGAATAACATCCTGAAAAATTTCCAGTTTTTGTTCGCACGGTGCAGTACGATACAGGTTAGTCCAATTATAGTTAGTTAGCCATCTTCCAAATGCAACTTTGGCACCTCTGTTACCGGGTCTAATGTTTATTTTCTTGCATCCGTTCAATGATTTACATTTTTTTAAAATGCATAAAACGGAATTATGTTGACAAGTTGACAAGGTGAAGCGAAAGTACAAAATAATTCTTTTATTCGCAAGACAATCTACTGTTTTGCTTTGAATAACTATATTTGCGAATTGGGAATGAGGATTTTGAAATTATTGTTCAAATATTACAGATATACCATTTGTATAAACAATGTACGTTTTTATATACAGTACGGTACGGGCTAATAATATATGTATCCGTTTTATTTTGTATATTTTACAAACACAAGACTGCTTCTTGCCAAAATTGACAAAATATATATTAATGTACTTGTGTATAAGACAAAATTTCATGAAAGATTCTACTTTTGAGTTTTGGTATATATTTTGACTCATTTTGTTCTTTCGCTACACCTTGTCAACATATTAAATAATGGTGTTGCTTCGAACTTTATGATAAAAAACCGATTTTCTAGACGTGTATACAAATAAAAACGGTAAGTTTATACTATAAATGAGTTTATTTTACCTGTATCGGTTTAAATTCGCCGTTAAGTTGCAAATAATTCTGTTTGAGAACGCAATAATTGGGCATTTCGCAACCAGGGCAGTTTCAGGGCAGTTTTGGCCTTGTTGTTGGGAAATCAACTAGGCCTTCTAGGCTTGCTTCCTCCGCCCGCCCCCAAAATAACCTAGTCCCAGTCTTTTCATGTGAAAAACCGCTGAATACTAAAAAATATAAATAGGACTAGAAGGCCTAGGTCTAGGCTGGGAACACTCCACACTATAAACCCACGCTTAAAAATTACTTGATTATTTTTATCAGGTTTTCAAAACACAAACATCAGTGAAACACATGAAAACAGCATTAAAATATTTTTCAAATGTAAACGTTAGGATCTCAAAGTCTTTCGCCTGGCAAAGTTTTAAAACCGAGTAATTAACATTATCAATATACACAGCAAATCACCACATTCAATATACTATATACGGTATAAAAATTGAATTTCATACCTTCGTTGACGACTGTAGACGTAGACGCCCCTGAAAAGGAGAATAAAATGTATTAGTGTGATTTTAACTCAAATTATTACACAGAATATACTCTCTCACCTTCGTTAACGCGTGTCGAAGATGATGGCGATTCTTAAAAGAGAAAAAATATCTGTATAAATACAAAGTTAGTAATCAAAATATTTTCATCTATACATACCTGGCTCATCAGTTCTTTGCCTTTTTGTTCGCCCGATCGGCGTCTTGGTACGTTTCCCACGGCCAACTTGGTGGACTTCGCGTTGATGGGCTTGGAATGGAAATATATTTCGGAATACTTCACCACATACATTACAAGTATATTCCCGTTCCGCGCCACGGCGCTCGTGCATTTTCATGTGGCGGCTCAAATCATCCTTGAATTAATATAAATAGATATTATTAACTCGAAATACCTTACTACGATTTGAAATATATCCCTGTAAATTACGTACCTTTCGATTAAACTTTTTGTGGCAACGCGAACACTCGTGGTCTTTGTGACTGTGAGTTTTCATATGTCGGTTCAAAGCATCCTTGAAATCATATAAATAGATATTATTAACTCGAAATACCTTACTACGATTTGAAATATATCCCTGTAAATTACGTACCTTTCGATTAAACTTTTTGTGGCAACGCGAACACTCGTGGTCTTTGTGACTGTGAGTTTTCATATGTCGGTTTAAAGCATCCTTGAAATCATATAAATACTATTAACTCAAAATACTTTTCTAAGTTTTGAGATATATCCCTGTAAATTACGTACCTTCCGATTAAACGTTTTATAACAACGCGAACACTCGTGGTTTTTGTCACTGTGAGTTTTCATATGCCGGTTGAGGTTGTCCGAACGCGTAAATACGCGACCACAATCATTACAACATAACCCAGACTTCTCCGATTCTTCTTGCCAGTCATCCCATTCAGACAGAATTTGCTCTTGCGTCTCTGGCGACCAGGACTCGAACATTTCATCTGTAGCAACGGCGCAAAGCTGGCGATTGAGTTCGTCATTCTCGAGATCGGAAATGAATTGATTTCTCCTGAAAATATAGAAATGAATTACATAAACAAAACTCTCGATATTATATTAATTTTCAGTTTAAATCAAACTTACAAAATATTCTCTCGATGTTGTTGTGCCATTTTCTTTCAAGTAATTTTCTTCACGACAAATTTCACCAAACTTCAACTAAGCGTTGTCAAATGCAGAACTATGTCTATTACAAAACGCTTGACGATTTTATACAGACGCTCGTTAAATCAAACAACCAATCATAGTAAGCCAACATTAATCCCTCCATTGTATCATAAACGTGGGGGACGCTAAAAAATGCGTGGTCAGCAAGTTTCAACCGATCGTGTTTAAACCTGCCCGCGTGACGTCATTGCATATAATTACGACGTATGTTAATGAGTGACGTCATTCCGCACCCTCATTCCTCCTCACTCCTCCTCACTCCTCCACCACACTCCACCGCCGCACTCCACCGCCGCAAAAATAAGGGTCGAAAACCACATACACTACTACTTATATACTCTCAGTTCGTGACACTGCTTGCCGTTTTGCCGGTCCTTCGTTCAAAATGTTGGGTGATTGCACAGGACATCTTTTCACAGTTACCTGTTCCTTTAAGTCAGTTTGTGCTTGTTGACATTAGCCTCTGAATAGATGGATATTTTTAACGAAGGTTATGCATTTCTTGCATACAGTTGTGGGAAGACCGTCCGATCTTTCTATAAAACTTCCACACGATTCGGACATGATTTTAACCAGAAACTTCTGTACTGCTGCTACCGATAGAACATTTGTCATGTGCCGGCTTTCAGTTTCATATCCACATAATCTGCAGTATCCTTTATATTTCTTTTTTAAATAAACTTTTTTAAAAAGTAAACTTGTATGTATATATAATTATTATAATTAATGCGATTTCCGTAAGGGATTGACCAATGGGCGCTAAGAACACCGCAGGCGATGCCAGGGCCTTCAGCAGGCTACACCGGAATAGCAGGCTGCTAAATTGGCAAAATGGCTAAATTCGAATTCCGACAGAGGGCTATCATTGCATGCATCTTTTCCATGATCCCGCTTGTATCTAAAATACGAGCGAGTGAAATAAATTCTTTTTTTGACAGGTTGGTACCAGAATCTCCTCGTTGGCTGTTATTGAATGGTAAAGAAGAAGAAGCTGAAGCAGTTCTTGCCAAAATTGCCAGAATGAACAAACGACCATTGCCAGACGATTTTGCACTGCAAAAACCTGTGGTATCTGAAACGAGAATAAGCTTTAAACAACTTTCTAATGACTGGAAAACTGCTACGAAAATCTTGATTTGTTGGGACCTGTGGTATGTCTTTCAGTTCGTTTTTAATAATAGTCCTTGGCTTGGTGCATGACATTGTTAGAACTTGTTTGTGTCAGTTATTTCATTTGGTAAAGAACTCTACAAAAGAAGAGAGCGTTCAGAGCGTCCAGATCGTTTCGTTTCAAACGGAAATTATCGTATTCTGTTTCGCTCTCTCAGCGAAGCCTTGCAAATCGCAAAGTGTTTCGAATAGGCTTACATGCAACTGCTTCCAAATCTTCACAGCGAAAAGCGCTGTTTTCTTTAGTGCAAGAATAGAGTCAACATCAACCAAAAGGTAATTTTCTTGAGGAACATATAACGTATCAAGTCTGTTTGAAATTAATGAAACTCAAGTAAAGGTTACTATAGTTTACCCCAGTCATAATGTTGCTATTCCAACACTTCACGACAAGCAATCCCCATTGGCATAACGGCAAAAACATCTCTTCCTTCAAGTAAACAATAAACGTCTGTTCTTGTTCCATTTTTAATCGAAATAAGTGATCAATTTTCGAATTTTAAGCTTATCGAGAGCCTTTGTGATGAATCACTGATCTAATTATAGAATCCAACAGCAAACAGCCAATCAGAATGCTGCGTTCGTGGGCGAACGCGGAAAGTACAAAATACCGGGCCTTGCTTGCAGGCTCACTATTCTTCCCTTGGGCCTGCACGCGGGCTAAGTTAGCATTACATTAGTATTACAACGTAGTTAGCATTATTTCTTGACTCTTCGATAGGTCCGTATAGAGAAATATTTCTCGAGGTCTTTTTAATTCCTCTGGATTTCCCCAATCACTCTTCCCGCACGCGAATGAAGCTGCCAAATAAAACGTCGTGTCTATCAATGCTATCGGGAAGAGTAATATCTTTTGTGAGTTAGTAAAGTTTAATTTTGGGATAGGTAATAGGACCTCTACATGCGTCTTGGACCTGTGGTGACCTTTGTTTACATTTTGAACTCAGTGCTACAGTTGTAAAATATGATTAGATATATATTATACTGAATTTTTAACACTCTTCCGGTTCGCTATGCTTGTAAATGAATGCAGACTAGAGATTCAATTCAAGAAAGTTCGGAAGGTGCGAAATATTAACAACATTCCAAGGGTTGCTCCCCCACTGATGGAATGTGTTGATGCGCAGAATATATGCGAAGAATATATGCGCAGAACGGACTTTACAGCATCTTTAATAAACAGCGTATTTAGCTCGATATTCTATATAGTAAATCCTCTATTTTGGGTATTTATAGGAGCGTATTTATTTGCAATCGATTGTTTACCCAGTGAAATATAATCAATGTTTACATAATAACATTGTATTGCACGTGCCCTTGCTTTAGCTGGGTGCAAGTCGCTATTCTGTCTTAGAATGTCTGTTAAAACTTTTAGCATCATTTAGGCCTCACTCTATATTTATCACTTATTTACTGAAACCGAGAGAAACAGTGTGTTTTCTGGACCCGAGACCAGGGCATTTTTTAACTATATAACTGCTGGGGCATTTACCTAGGCCCTTTGCTTGCCCCAATAGTGAAGAATGATTTTCAGATGAACTGGCCCTTTTGATCATCAGTAAAAGGTTAACCTTGTTGAAAATGCTGCATGCATCTGCCTGGGTGGGTCGTGGGCGTGGAAACACCCAATTGTCAGGTAGTAGGCAAATTATCTAATACTAGTTGGTGAAAAGAAATACTAATTTGTGTTTGAAATTAGTAGGCTATATTTCACTTGCACCCCCCCCCCCTCCCCCTATTTAAATAGCACTAGCGGTGCCCCTGAGCACAGTGTAATTTTATGTACCTATATAAACTGTGTGGAGAAAAGGCCCTCATTGAAACTAGGCCCCAGTAGTTGTAATTTCTGAAAAAAATACTATAGTGTCCTGTGACGTAAGTAGTAACGACAGGAACACTGAGGACATTAATCATGCTTGGGGGGTATTATGGGTACTGGGTAGTTCTAGTTTGCCCGTTGTTTAGAAAAGCAGAGTGAGAATATACGAACGATATTGTGCGTGTTTTATAGTATTTATACACTATAACTGGCGACGAGGATAAAAGAATTTCATTGCAAAAGTTTTAGATTTACCTGCTGTACCACCATTCTCTGTATCGGATCACAGAACCCTTGCTCAACGATGGGAAAAGTGGACAAAGTCGCTCGATTATTATCTCCGTGCGTCTGGAGTAACTGATCAGAAACAAAAACGTGTTGTTTCACTACACCTTGCTGGCCCTGATGTACAAGAAATCTTTGAAACCCTGCCTAACACTAGCGATGATTATAAGACTGCCCTCGAGAAACTTAACGAGTATTTTCAACCGAAAAGAAATATTCCATTTGAGCGCCATGTTTTTCGGCAAGCTTCCCAACAGCCTGACGAATCAATGGACGTATTTGTCACTCGATCACGTACTTTGAGCAAAACATGTGTTTTTGGTGAACAAACAGACGAAGCTATTCGTGATCAAGCAATTGATAAATGTGTTTCAAAAGAACTTCGCCGTCCTTTACTTCGCGAACCTGACA